CGTAACATTTTTCTGTACGCCCCGGCTGTCTAATTCTAACGTCGTTTACACAGAAGTTCTTTCACAAACGACTCAGAACTTTGAGCATAACGATTTATTTTCTTATCATTTATTCATACAGTAATGATATAAATCATTTAATATTCTCTTACATATATATATCGTCAAATTCTTTAAGTAAAACCTATATACGCGAGCTACGCCGCGGGCACAGCTAGTTTAAAATATCACTGGTTAGAGAAATAACTCTATCCTTAGTAGAACCAGCAAGAAACCCAGCGGGGGTTGCGGTTTGTACATTTTTGTACCCGACTTGAAAACAAGGAAGCGGTCCTCAATCCGACTGTTTGTTACATTTTCCTTTGTAGGTTAATTTATATTATGTTACGCGATATCTTCCCTCAATTGTAAATCGATTTTTACGATTCATTTTTATTAAACAGGTTCAACATTCACGTAAACAACACAACAAAAATTCCACCCTTAAGAGTGGCAAAATAGAGTTTTTTTTTTTATAGAATTAGGGTAACAAACGAGCACACAGTCCTCCTGATGGTAAGTAGTCGCTGTGGCCCATAGACATCTACATCTATCCTCGATTACGAATCAAAATGGAAATGCGTTGTCAGCCGTGAGAACTAAGATGCAATGCCTCTTTTCCAGTAAAAAAGGTCGCCGGTTCTTTGCACTCACCATACGAAACACAGCAGCATTAAGCTGCTATTTTACGCTGGTATTCTGTGAGAGCGTGGTCCTTCCCCGGTCGAGCCGCATGCTGCAGCATGGCTCTACCACGTAAAAAGTTGAAGTTGTTTACGAAATTGAGATTGTGATTAATGATTATATTCCCTATTCCATATACCAATCAAAAAGTGTAAAAGAATTAACTTTTAATCAAAAGTAAATACCACATTCTGAAGTCGTTCAGAAAATGAAATTATTTTAAAGTAGTTTTTCGCGACGCGGTATTACCCGCGTCCAAGTTGTAACTTTCAGTCATGACCCAGACCATGAGGTAGAATACGGAAAGTTCACGCTATCACATAAAAACTTACTTATATTTCGACGTGATAATGATCGCAGAATTTAAGTTAGACTAAGGCCTGTCGAATGGTTAAAAGGTAGGTACATTCATAGGTCCTTGCTCAATAAATCATTTTCTGTTACATACTTACTGTGACTCTTACCCATTCAAAGAGCACTTTCATTTAAAGTCTGTCAGTACGTTCCGAGTCAATCGCCCAGTAAAATAAAAAAAAATCATACGAACTGTAATACCCTGTTTCACCCCCTAAGAATTTGTATTTTCCAAAATCTTTTCTTAGTGGATGCATGCGTCATAAAAGGCAGCTACTGCCTACTGTTCAAATTTCAAATTTCTACGTCTATATAAACTTTGCACCCTCGTTTCAAAACCTTTATCTCTTCAGTTTTTCAAAACATTTTTGAAAAAATATCAAATAGATATAATATTATTTTCATACAAGAGTATTACTTACTTACTTACTTATCTTCACCCACAATCCCCGTCGGGGTAGCCAGAGAGAACAGATCGCCAAGTGTCACGATCCTTACACACCTCATTCGCTTCTTTCAGATTCATTATCTTCTTCAAACATGCACGTCTAATTATCCGAGTACTCTTGACCCTCCCCTCTTCGAGCAATTTGCTCACATGGTTTTCGAAAGTTAGTCTCGGTCTACCTCGAAACCTTTCAATATTAAATTTCGCGCTATATATTTTCTTCACCATGCGGTCTTCAGTCATTCGCTCAACGTGCCCAAATCATCGAAGCACGCCCTTATCAATTTTTGTGATAAGGTCATCTTTCAAACCTGCCATATTGCGAATCTCTTCGTTTCGCTTTCGTTTCGGGTTCGGTTTACGAAGAGATCGCATCTCCACTGCATTCAACTTGCTTTTATGCTTCTTCTGGCATACCCAGGTGTCGCTGCCATATAACACGCAGTCGGTACCAACACTGCGTTATGAATTGCAAGGCGTGCACTCTTCACTACGCTTTGCCTTTTGACTAACGCAGTCAGGGCACCATTGACTTTGTTCCCGGCAGCGACACGCCTGTCCACATCTAAATCACATCTTCCATCTCGGCTAAAAGCACTCCCCGAGTATACAATTTCATTTAACTGTTCTAGACATTCCTGATTTACCCATACTTCACACTTCGTTCTCTCTTCGTCCCTTTCAAATACCAGAACCTTAGTTTTATTAGCATTCAAACGGAGACCTTTAATTTCACATTCCTCATTCATAGACGTGACTAATGCCTGCAGTTCTGCCTTTGATGGTGCAATAAGCACTGCATCATCAGCATACAGCAGATAATTTATTTTAATGTCACCCAATTTCACACCCAAACAGCTATCTTTCAGCTTCTGTAAACAGCTGACGAGATACAGTATGAACAGCCAGGAAGACACGACACAACCCTGTTTTACGCCCGTTTGGACGCTAAACATGAGTGACAGGTCATGCCCTACTCGCACACAGGCTTTACAGTCACAGTAAAGTGCACAGCCCTTAGAAATCGATCATCCACACCATACCCTGGCAACAGTTCCCACATTTTCTTCCTTACAACCTTATCAAATGCTTTCTCAAGATCCATAAAAGCACAGAAAATCCTCTGGTTTGCAGCCAGAAGCTTTTCCGTGATCATGCGGAGATAAGACATTTGATCCGTGCATCCTCTTCCAGGTCTAAATCCGCATTGTGCCTCCCTTAGACATTTTTCCGATTTCTCTTGCATCCTACGTGTCAAAACCTTCGAGTAAACTTTACTTGCTAAACTGGTCAAGCTGATCGCCCGATAGCACCCGTAGTCAAAATGTGAACCTTTACCTTTATATAAAGGCAAAATGACTGCGGATCGCCAATCATCCGGGTCATCCCTTATCCGCCAGCACAAATTGCACAGCAGATGAAAGCTGTCCCAGACGCGAGGCCCACCATACTTGACCATTTCAGCAGTAACTCTGTCTAGTCCCGCAACCTTACCACATTTCAAACTTCGAATCGCACGTTCAGTCTCTTTCATACTGATGACCTCAGTGTCATCAAAGTCCGGGTCTGGCTTACCAGTCACGGCGTTGCCCCCGGATCCCTCACTAAGATCATCACACGCATACATTTCTCTATAAAATTCGCTCCATCGCTGCATGACGTCCGATTTTTCTGAGAGGACGTCATTGGTTCTCGAAAGCACTTTGTTCATTCTTAAGGCCGTCGCACCACTTCGGGTCCTTCCAACCTCTTTCCAGAAGAGTTTGGAGTTCTCCTTAAAGTTGTGCGACAACCTTTCGTCCGCTTCCATTCTACACCTTTCACGCACTTCCTCAATCAATGCTTCCGTGTGAACTTTCTGAAGCTTATATCTTTCTTTCATCTTCTCTCTCATATCCTTATCATTACTAGAGGCCAAGTAGTCTAACCATGCTTTCTTCTTCTTCTTTACAGCTTCTTTCACTTCATCATTCCACCATGCATCTCTTCTTTTACTACTACCTCTTGTTATCGTTCCACACACTTCTTCCGCTGCACTTACCATTCCATCCCTAAAGTTCTGCCATGTTCTTTCCACACATTCTTTTCTGCCATCGATGGTGTCAAGCTTTTCGGCTACCCTCGCATGATATTTGTCCCTAGTATCCGCTTCCTGAAGCTTCCAGCTACGGATGCGACAGACCGAATGTGGTTCTGTTACAGCCGTCCGGTAGCGCCAACCCGCAAACAGACCCCTAAATCTAGTAATCATCAGATAGTGATCCGTTCCAAGGTCAGCACCCCTGAACACTCGCGTATCCATCACTTGTTTTCGCAGTCGGTCGTCCACCAGGAACAAATCGATCATACTTCTCTCATTCTTTGTTTCTCTAGTATACATATGGATTTTCTTGTTATTAAACATAATGTTTGTCACAAGAAGACCCTTTTCCTTGCATACAGCCAGTATAAGTTTGCCAGCATCATTAACCCTTTTATCGCCAAACTTTCCAAGCACCGACTCGTACCCTGGTCGAGCAGTACCAACCCATCCATTCAAATCACCACATACAACAATTCTTTCGTTTCCCCTAACCAAATCTAGAACTTCTCTTACATTCTCCCAAAACTCCTCCAGCTCAGCCCTGGACGACGAAGCTACCGGTGTATAAACAGCCAAAAGGAATAACTACGTCAGTCCCAATTTAAAGCGAACCCAGAGAAGTCTTGAGGTCACAACCTTATATTCAGTCATAACATCGACTAACCGAGACAACAGCAGGCAGGCGCTCTCTCCGGGACTCCGGACCATAGAGCTAACGCCCCGCCAGGGAGCTCTTCAGTACCACTGCCCTTCCGTTTGGTCTCCGACATACACACGACATCTAATTCTCTTTCTTTCATTATTTCGATCAACTCATTCGTCTTATCTCTCATGCTTCCTCTAACATTCCACGTGCCAACTCTGCACTCTGTCCTCCACAAGAGTGTTAGCTTCAGTTTTTTTTTAAAAACCTTTATAGTTTTTTTCCATACAAATTTGAACAGCCTATGGCCCAGCGTAAGGGGTTCTTTTGAAAATCGCAAAATCCGTATTCATTTATTTTATTTACAGTGCTTACAGTAACTTTCATGGCAATCGCCCCGAAAAGTAAGTTTCATACAAACTGCAACACTTTTTTTTACCCTCTTATGGGTTGAATTTTCAAAAATCCTTTCTTAGTGGATGATTATGTCATAAAAGTCAGCAACTGTACTAATGTCAGATTTCTACGTCAAGTGGTTTGGGTTGTGTGTTGATAATTACTCATCATCACTCAGGACATCCTCCATAATGTATATAGATAGATAGATAGATAGAATAATTTACTATACCTTATGTATTATGTTGTACAATCAATTGTACAAAATATATTAGAAACACAAACACACAACAGCTTGATTTACTTCAAGGGTTATTTCAGTAGTTATATCGTGAATCCAGAATAATAATAACCTAATCAAAAAAGTTGAAGCACTTACTTCCATCTCCATTTGTAGAGTGAGCGCTCTGGCCCACCTCTCGCTGAGCCTGCGGCGAGTCCTCAGCAGCGCCGGCACCGCCTCCCGGCTGACCCACTCGCCGAACTCTGCGCAACACCGCACCCGTCACAACACAATCCTCTATTTGTTTGCACAAGCCTTGTTACCACAAACTATACACGATGTATACTAAGTTAATAAGCCCGTGTTAGAGAATACAATGTTAAAAACGTGAAATGTGAAAAATGAGAAATAACCAACGAAGCTTGAAACCTCGGATGTAAAAGTAGATTAAGAAAGTGTAGAAGAAGTGGAGGTGGTTAATAAGATCGTTAAAGAAAATAAGTATATAAGCAAATATGTATAGTTCAGTAAACTATTATTCTTAGTCTTTGTTGTACATACTACTAATATCATGGTTGCGACCACTAGATCAATGGATTCACGATGTAGGTACACTACTCTGAACTACGTAGTGTGCATTAGCATAGCTTGATTAGATTATTAAATAGAGCTATTGTTTTATAGGATGACATAGGCCATAGACATCTGCATCTATTAGGAATCAAAATTTTGTTGCGTTATCACCCCTGACGACTAAAATGGTCTTGTTTCCAGTTAGTGTCTCCGGTTTTCTAAACTCACCTTTTTTTTATAGGATAAGGGTGACACAAATGAGCACACAGTCCACCTGATAGTAAATGGTTGCTGTGGCCCATAGACATCTACATCTATCCTCGATTACAAATCAAAATGCAGATGCGTTGTCATCCATGAGGACTAAGATGGAATGCCTCATTTCCAGTAAAAAGGGTTCTCCGGTCCTCTACAGTCACCATACGAAACACAGCAGCATTAAGCTGCTATTTTACGCTGGTTTTCTGTAAGATCGTGGTCGTTCCCCTGTCGAGTCGACCCATTCGTGCTACAACCATTAATATAGTTTTAGCGTGACTCTACCACGTAAAAAACTTTGCAGGTAAACAATGGTAATGGTGCCAATTTCATCGCAAATGACATCCCTCGTAGTTGAATTTGTGTTTAGTTTTATTATTACGTATCATTTGTCAAGAACTTCACATAAAAAGTAAAAAAACAACTCTTAGCTGAATTTGTCATACACAATTTATGGCCAGACGTTTTATTTATGTTTACTATCAATTATATTGTTGACAAGCTACCCGAGGTAAGTCATGTATAATTATTTACAGTGTAAAATTTACGCATGAGTCATATTTAGTTATTTATCGATCCCGAAACAGTTTATACATTAAAACTGCTAAAGAGCGGCCAAATACTTCAGATAACTTTGCAGTACATTACAATGTTGGTGCTCGCGGCGGAATGCTTGAAATTAAATGTATCATTAGTACACAAAATCAGAAGGAAAAATGAAAGGAAACCAAGGAATTAAGCAACATTCTTATATGAGTACAAAAATAAAACACATTCCATTATTATTTATGATGATAATGAGAAGTTTGTTTTGTGTTTAGTTGAGTACAGTAAAGAATAATCTACTTCTAAGAGATCTACTAAAGACATAAGTTAGCTTTATTTCTGTCAGTTTTTGAAGTAATCAATATGTGTATATAATGTATAAAAGAACGACAAATAGCACAGTACGTCTAACCACGTTGTAATGTGATTTATGTTTGCACGTACGCTGAAAACGAATCTACAATTCTATTGCTACATAGTTTTAACAACCAATGTTAAATGCAAAATGTTCTAAATAATCTACGTCATCTACAAAGCAGTCAGATGGTATCAGTGTAAATTTAGAATACACAATGATTTGATTATTGTAAATTCATTTTTAAATAACAACTAAAATAATAAAAGAACAATTCTAGAATAGGTGTGACAACGAGCACACAGTCCACCTGTTGCTGTGCAAGTGGATGCTGTGGCCCATACAAATCTACATCTATCCTCAAATTAGAACCAAAACACAGATGTGTCGTCACCCTAGAGCACTAAGATTTAATGCCTGCTTTCCTGTAAAAAAGGATCTCCGGTTCTCTACACTAACTATACGAAATACAGCATTAAGCTGCTATTCTGTGAACGCATGGTCCCACCCCGGTTGAGCCGACCCATTCGTGTTACAACCATAATATAGCTGTAACATGGATCCACTATGTACAAATTATTCATTTTGGTTCTTAATTGAAGATAGATAAAAGTGTCTATGGGTCATAGCATTCACTAACCTTCAGGTGGACTGTGAGCTCGTTCGTCACCCTTTACCCATAAAAAATTGTATTGGCCACTGGTTTATGAGAGAGTATGAGTGTTATTTTCAATAACTAAATCATTGTTCATTTTTATTTCCATAATACGTGGGCACTGACCTATCGCCTCTTTGTTCATTGTGTCAAGTGTGAAGTCCATTTCGTGTTTTGTCACTACTTTTCATATGTGTTGGGTCGTGTTAGATATTTCCTTGTGATCAACTTCACCTCTTATCACTTTTCACTGCACATTTTAACTACAAATGCGTTTTGTTTATACAATAGTATTTGAAATTAACTGCCATTATTACCCGACTGCCTCAGAAGGAAGGTAATGTTTTTCGAGAGTAGGTACTTATATAATATGTATGTTTATTTCTTCACGTTCTCCAGGTTTGATGGATTTTAACATATGAGGTGTCGTTAGATTCGACTTTATTGTGGAATTGATAGTCTATATAATATTTATATATTGCATCTGTTAATACATAACAAGGAAAGAGGAGGGATTTTTTACGCAGTCGGGTTTTTAAGTTATTGTTTTAACCATTTTGCTTGTTTAAATATGTTTTTTTTTTTATATCAGTTTACGTTTTTCCTGTATTGCCGTTAAATTAATTTGAAAACAACTGTTCATTTATTGTATATTCTATACTTCCTATTGAATATCAAAACAAAACTGGCTACAGTCGCTTTTTTGGCAAGAACCTGATCACTTCTACACCTGCGTGCACCTAATTTTACAGAGAATTATTCATATTTCACTCGGATCGTTTGCTGCACTTGCAGGAATGTATGGCGCAGACGACACATCGGCCAGTGTTGTGCCAAAGACGCATGCCAAGCTATACTTGAACTTTCATCATCTTATCACGGATTCTAACAGCCATTTATCTATATCCCTCATTAGCCACTACTCGCTGTTGGAAGGATATTAAACGTGACACATTCGTACAACATCGCAACAAGTAGTAGAATTAAAACAAAATTGTACAACCGATTTCAATATAAATTATTAAGAATAATTGTATAACAAATATTTCACATATTATTTTTTTCTACAACCTACCTTAAAAACTATTGATCTTCATGAAGAATTGACTATGAAAATTTCATTTGGCTAGTGCTGGAGCATCATGTTGAAAAATGTACATAATTTGTCCATGTGCTAATAATTGACATTTTTGTTTTAATTCAAAGTCTACTAAAAACGTAAGTAAATATATTTTATTAAGCGTACCTACGCTACGTTAGTAAGTAGAATAACGAAATTACTATACGAAAGGACAGAAAAAAATAAAACACACGAACGACAAAATTTTTAATTTTTAATTATAACAGTACATATGTTATAATTAAAAATTAAAAATTTTGTACAACTGACTTCAATATAAATTATTAAGAATAACTCAAAAACTATTTGTCAGACTTTGAACAAATTTCTATGGGACCACATGAGAAGCGCCAGCTTTCAAATAAAAAAAGAATCATCGAAATCGGTTTACGCAGAAAAAAAGTTAAGAGGTAACACACATTGAAAAAAACATACAGTCGAATAGAGTACCTCCTCCTTTTTGAAGTCGGTAGATAAAATGAGAACATCATCAATGTCGTCGAAGTGAATTAAATATGCATAATTAAGGCTATTCAAAAACTAATAGTCAGATCTTGATCAAATTTATATAAGACCACATTAGAAGCACCAAATAAAAAAGGAATCATCAAAATCGGTTCACCTAGAAGAAAGTATGCTGAGGTAACACACATAAAAGAAATACAGTTTACAATTGAAAACTTCCCCATTTTTTCGAAGTCGGTTGAAGATATGAGTCCAATGATCCAGGACATTTATTGCCACCAGGGCGGCGACACTTAGGTATGAGGTGAAATATTTAACAGATTGCATGGCGGACGAAGTTAATTTGTTAGGAAAATTTAAGGGCAAATGTTTTTTTCTGTATAATTATTAAATTATTCTGTACAGAGTAATATTTTATAATAATATGATTGGAAATGAAGAAATCAAATTACGGATATTTCTATAAGAAAAATTAACAAAAAAAGGGTTAAAAATGTGCAAAAAATTAAACAGCGAACCACTGAAGCATTGTTTTGTGTATGTATATAATACTTTAGAAACCGATAACTTTATTTAAAAAGCTACTTCTCAATTATATTTTTTTTTATAGGATAGGGTGTCAAACGAGCACACAGTCCACCTGATAGTAAGTGGCTGCTGTGGCCCATAGACATCTACATCTATCCTCGTTTGAGAATCAAAATGCAGATGCGTTGACACCCGTGAGGACTAAGATGGAATGCCTCTTTTAGTAATAATATAGCTGCAGCATGGTTCTACCACGTATAAAATTTGTTTTGTGTATGTATGTTTATAATACTTTAGAAACCGATAAACTTTTATTTAAAAAGTTACTTCTCAATTATATGACATTGTGTAACAAAACACTTCACCTCAGTTCTAAATAGCCACATCTGGCGAGTGAAAGATTACTAGCTCTCGTTGGAACAGTTGCTGCGGTAACGGCATATCGCAATCTGCAACTGTTCCCATACCAAGCGTAACGATTACTGCTAATCCTCAGACTCAGGAAATACTAGCAGTGACGTAAACTAGTAGCAGTTATAACATAAATAAAAAGCCGGCCAAGTGCGAGTCGGTTTCGCGCATGAAGGGTTCCGTACCATCGTAAAACACGTTTCTAGTTGGGCAACCAACTTTCATTTTTAATATATGTTTATTTTTATTACTTGCTGTTATAGCGGCAATGGAAATTTCAACTGTCTACCTATTACGGATCACGAGATACAGCCCGTTAACGGACACACGGACGGACAACGGAGGTGTAGTA